GCATGTTCACACAGGCAAAACACAACACATATAGACATTCTATCGTTCATAATCATATACCGATACACAGTGCATTCACATCACAGACAACGCCACATACGAGTAGTGTCCGTAACGGTTATCAACATAATGTCATCGGGGAATGTCCGTTTCGAGTGTCCGCCTCGGGTGTAATAGTGTCCGGTATCCACTGGGGGGCGCCATAACGCCGTGGGTGAGTCGTTGATTGTCCAGGGACAGGAATGTCCCGGGAGTGAGAGCAGAGTTGTGAGCTTTGATCTCTACAGGCAGGCAGAGACAGAGATGTTTATTCCTGTGGTGACTTTATTGCTCTGTTTGACGCCTGTAATCCCCATGATCAATGGCAGTCCTCAGGTTGACCCCACGGTTCCTTTGAAGCAGCAGTGGGATGTCTCCCTCCTTTTGGTCAAATGTTTACATAGTCCAGGGCCTGGGCTGTTGTCCGGCCCTGTCCCTTATTTAACCTTACACCCCTTTAAAGATCTTTTTATTGATAATGTTTTTGCCTCATTCTTGCAACTAACCGAAAATTTTAATATACCTAAAACACATTTTTTTCGTTATCTGCAGTTACGTCATTTTATGAAAAACAAATACCCCTCCTTTCCTAATCTACCAGTAGCTTCAGCTATAGACGAAATACTAGATGTAAATGTTTCTAAAAAGGGAAGCATTCGAAAAATGTATAATATTTTGTTTGATATACAGTCTCCATCTTTGACTATTATTAAATCACATTGGGAAAAGGATCTAGCACTAAACGTAACAGATGAGCTCTGGGGGGCCATGCTTCGAGGGGTGCACTCCTCTTCTATTTGTGCCAGGCATGGACTTCTTCAATTTAAGGTCCTCCACCGATTACACCTTTTTAAGGAGAAAATAGCTAAATTTTATCCGGGCACAGATCCTTTGTGTAATCGTTGCAAGTCTGATGTTGGTTCACTCATACATACCTTTTGGTCATGCCCTAACATTTATAATTATTGGACATCTATTTTTAAAACTCTTTCAGAGGCTTACAGCATCAGAGTTGTACCCAATGCTCTGACTGCGCTCTTTAGGGTGATGCCTCCTGGAGTAACTATCCCAAATTACTCCTTGCGTGCTGTGGCCTTTGCCTCTTTGATGGCACAACGTCTTATTCTTTTTAAATGGAAAGATTAGTCCTCTCCTACACATTCCCACTGGATCACTGATCTTATGCACTTTCTACATATAGAAAAAATTAGGTATACACTTTCTGGCTCAATTGTCAAATTCGAACGAACGTGGCGCCCATTCCTAAAATACATTGAGGATTTGAAAATGGTTGGCATACCTTAATATAGTTATAATAAGACCTGCAACTCTAAATCTACCTTTTATTACAGTATGGAAATCTTGTGTACATTTCTCATATATATATATATATATATATTTTTTTTTTTTGTTCTCTGTTTTGTAATTTTTTTCAGTCAATCTATTGCATTATATTTGTTTTGTTTTTTTCTGTTTTGTTTATATGTTTGAAAGAAAAGGCATGTCTTTCTGTGTCTGGTACACACATAATATGTGAACAGAGGCAGAGGTGTTTTGATAAATTATATCACAGTAGTCAAGAATGGGGAGAATCAGTTGAGAAATGATCCTCTTCCTTACTGATAAACATCACTGCTCTCGAGAAAATCTGCATGGAGGAATGGGCCAAAATACCAGCTATGCTGTGTGCAAACCTGGTAAAGACCTATAGTAATCGTTTGACCTCTGTTATTGCCAACATAGGTTATATTACAAAGTATTGAGTTGAATTTTTGTTATTGACCAAATACTTATTTTCCACCATAATTTACAAATATATTTTTTAAAAATCCTACAATGTGAATTCCTGGATTTTTTTTTTCACATTCTGTCTCTCACAGTTTAAGTGTACCTACTGTATGATGAAAATTACCTCTGTCATTATTTTAAGTGGGAGAACTTGCACAATCGGTGGCTGACTAAATACTTTTTTGTCCCACTGTATACCTAGGCAAGAGGAGTGACTGAACCACACTGAAATATTATGTTATATGAAATTATTTTCCAAAGCATACAAAGGTCATAGCAGCCTAGAATGTTTAAAGATGGAAGGGGATTTGTTTTTAAGATACAGAGTTACAGAGTCTGAGGTTTACCATATCTTCTAATAATAGTGCAAAATAATTCCCAAATGAGTTTTGAAGCATTTATACAGTATAAAAGGCTACAGTACAATACAATACAATTTATTCTTGTATAGCCCTAGGTCACAACAGAAGTCATCTCAGAGGACTTAACAAAACCATTGAAATCACCAACACAGGTCAGAGAATCAACAGTTAAAACACATGAAAAATATAAAGCACACACAGAAGAAAATGTCCATACATGTTGTAGAATGCTAAAGTGTCCTGATCATCACCAATCCTTTCTGTTGGACACTAACTGTCCAACAAGACCCTCCTGCATCGGCAAGGAAAAACTCTTAAAAAACCCGGTGGGAAAAAGTGAGTAAGAATATCTTATGCATACCAGGCGGAATGTGCAGAAAATGGCACTTTTGGGTTATTTTTTTTCATTTTCAAGGGATGGAGGGTTATTTTAGTACAGAGTTGTTGTATTTATAGTGTTAATAAAGTCCCAAGTTGACATTTTGAAGTTGATTATCATCCCCCCCCACTATGGGCTGACAGCTTTTTGAGTTCTCTGAGGGCATCCCTGGGGTGTCCGAACAAGATGTCCTGATGGGGTCCCATCAAGCCCCAACGATCCAAGATGGCTCCCTATTCGATTCAGTGACTTGTGCTCAGTGGCGTGGCGCATGTGCCACCTTGGGGACCAAAACATTAGCAGGACTCGCCTATATATGGTCATTGTCTGGTCCCCCCGATTCTGCGTAGTGAACAAGCTACCATGATGCCAAATATGCGTGTGTGTCTCTCATGCACGTGCCCTCGCGGCCGTTTTGAAAAGCCCCATAAAAGGCGAAAGTGATGGCACCTTAGTTTGAACGGCGGAGATAGACGTGACTTCGTCTGTTGAAGGTCCCATATTATGCTTTTTGACCTTTTTCTGGTTTAAACACGTTTACAGTGCTATTTGGCCTTCATACACATGCCCAGAGTAGTTTTTCATGGATTCGCTCGAGCTTTAGTCTGAGAAAAATCTTTTTGAAACAAGCCGTTTCCAATCGTAACGTGCACCAATCCGTGACGTTAAAGGAATAGGCCACCGTTTTTACATACTGACATATGTTCTCACCGTACCTTAGACTAGTTGATATGTACCTGTCTGGTCTTTGTCCGTGCGCTCTGTCATGCAAACGGAGCACAAACGCAGCCTCTTCCACATACTGTGTGTAGTAACGAAATCAGAACCCCTTTAGAAGCTACCAAACTCTTCCACGTTTTCCCTATTTAAATACAGTTACGTGACGTGTTACACTACCTAGTATATTAACACAGAAATGTAACATGTCGATTTTCTCAGCGGATAAAAAGGGGTACTATATTGTGAGGCGTAATAATACGAGGAGCACTTCGTCCGCGCACTAACTCCTAAAGACTTCTCTCCCGCTCACGCTGCTTCTATTGACTGAAGAGAAACTACCCACAATGCTGTGCGGTCGTGCCGGAAGCTCGGAACTCTTGATCCCTGTATATATTAACCGCTCACATGCTACGTTATGCATACGGAGCTCACTTCTCACAATATGGATTGCACGTGAATGGCGTGACCATAGAATGATAGAACCGGGAAGCGCGGAGGAACAAGACTTTCTTTTGGATGGCTGTTTTGCTGTGTAAGCAGAAACCGTTAACGAAGACACAGGAAGCTTCAGGTTAACCTCCGCCACTTGTTTACCTTAGCTGTCTGTGCCATAGACTGTATATATTAATGGACAGAGTCACGCCTATCTCCGCCATTCTAACTAATGGGCCAAAAAATGTGCTCTACCGGAGCAATCCAAAATGGCCGCGAGTAGTCCCGCCCACAAGAAAATTGTGAAAAAACGCATCTGCGCATGCGTCAGCCGGCGCAGCTCCATTCATTTGAACGAGAGACTTCAAAAATTCACAGCAAGTAAACTAGACTGGACCAAAAAAATTCACCCCCCTCAGCATTGACACACATGTGGAACGGAGCTTTGGGCCAAGAGCCAAATTTTGGTCCATCCTGTAAAGACGTTTTTGAGAGGTCTGCCAATGCTATATGTTAGCATTTGCTAATTCTACTTCTGGGTCCACCCCCATCGGCCGGGGTGGTATTGCAAGCATGTCAGCGCACGTCATTTTGGCCACTTTTGAGCTGGGACCACCATGGTAATACCCTATCCAGTTAATATAATAGATCCATGGCTGGGACCCTCCCCCACTGCGAGAAATCTGTGGCTTTTCTCAAGAAAGTGGGGGCCAGTGGTCCGCTGTGATTGGTCACAATCTGGACCCGAAACAAATCCTCTTCCTTGTTGCATAAAACTTCATCTAAAATAAAATGACACACAAATCTGCGCTACTTTTTTGTAAGGAATAAAAAAATAAAGTCAGGTAATGCAGATCTAGGCCAGAGGTGGAAATGATGACCGTGTAGCACTATCTAAAGTAACTTTATCAAGGAATATCAACGATCTACAATACTTATGACTGAATATGATTTTGACGTCAAAGGTACCGTTTCTGATAACTGCTGCACGAGCGTGTATTTGCCACGTGCATTCTCAGTACCTGATTGGCCAGAACTACCGGGAAGCCCCTGCGTGTCACGGCGCCGGTATAAATAGTGGGAGCCGCGTTGTTCCTAAGCAGCCCTGGTTTCTGAGGGAAAATGTATCGTCTCGGCCCACAGGTTTTCTCCAAGATCGCTCTCTTTTCCTTCTTGCCTACGGTGCCACGGGACAATTTTCATTTTACGAGACAATACAATAAAGGCTGCTCGTGTATTGGCTGATTTTGGTTCAGCGGCGTGCGTCTACACAGTGAACAATGCCACGGACCAAGAAAAGGAGCAGCAACAAGGGTGAGCGCGGGGCATTCGGCCTAGTGTGGGCTAGTGGCTGGGGACTGATGGGAGTTGTAGTTTATGTGTAATAGTTATCTCGTTTAACTGCATGGGGTGTGCGTGCTGCATGGACTACAAACGTTAGCTCAACATCCGCTGGGATGAAAACACAAACCTTGCTAGCTGTAACGACACAAAGCGCTGATTACAGATGGTGTGACTTTGGTATTTTTCATTTCAGGTATATATACAGTGATACTTGGATAACAATGGCTCTGCATTTACATTCTATGGGCTCTGCCAATATTAATACTACCAGCTATCTACGGCCCAAAATTTGATATCACACCGTAAAGCAGCATATACAACACTTTTATATAATTTAAATTCTAAGTACCCGTTATTTGTAATGGTAAGCCCACCGTAATGACATGTTCATGTAAAGCTATCTATCGATGTAACGTAGATGAATGCTTAGCCATAGTTGCGTTATCAGCTTGTAATCATGTGTCACGTAGCGTTAGCTAAAACTGCTGCTGACGTCAAACTAAGTTGGTTTGATAACTCTGTTTTTGAATAGGAGAATATCATTGACAACTTATATAGTGCTGTATAACCATCTTGATACGTTTTTTTAAGCCATCGGGCTGCCAGAAAGGAGAACAGGCGACGCCCCGCTGGTTCTTCGAAATCAGCTGTCGGAAAAAACAGTCCACGTCAACACATTATAGGCCTTTAGTAACTTGTTTGCTGTAGCTGGATCACCCATGATCATAAGTCAATCAAAAAATGGCCAAGTGCGTGCGATCTAACCGCATGGACCTTATAAAAACGTAATGTAATTTTTGGATTGTCTGTCACCAGTCATCTCTGATGTACTGCAAAAGCTATCTGGGGACAAGATTCATTTCAGGATACCACCAGCAGCAGCAATGGAGGTGAAAGACTCAGATGCAGGAATTATGGCTTGTACACAATGTTTTGAGCTATTATCCTCAAATCAATATTTAACCGATACCCCATCTCTACATAGACTATGAACCATGCTGCCAGTATTTATTACCACAGTTGTTACATTACTGCATATATTTGCAGGAGCTACTCAATCCAATACATTCTTGACCTCAATAATCTTAACATTTTAGTGTCTTAGTACACAGTAATATGTTGGTGCAATGGTTGCAGATAATTTACAATTCCAAACGAATGTCAAAACATAAACATAGACATGACATTATTAGCTTTACAATGTATTCATCCACAGTGGAATGAAAAGGGCTATCCTAACAAAATGTCATTCCTGCACACACACATACCACTAATACATGGCCCCGCATTATACGGTTCCATCAAAATTAGACAATGCCAAAGTAATAATATATAGCCCTGCTTGCTCAAATAGGACCTCAGCAAAAAGATGTGAAGTCTGAATAAAGGGCAGTTAACTATTAATTCATGATAAACTACACTTACAGTTGTCAATTATTAAATTAGCAGCCTTAATAGATATGATCAAAATATTCAAGTGTTGTTATCTGCTTTGGTCGCCATCCTTCTTTTGGCCTGATGTAAAATTGGTTTTGCTGACCTTTTTTGCCTGTTACAAAATGTGTCACATTGACTTTGTGTTTACATATCCCATGTGTTTGGCCTGGACTCTTTTGACATGAAACAGTGTATTTTCACATCAGATAGTAACGGTAGCAGCTGTGCAAAGGTTAAACTTTGTTTATCTAATCTTCTGTTCCTGCAGCACCTGCCAGTCTCTAGTTACATAATGCACAGAGACACACTTTTACATGTGTTTTTGTTTTTGCATTTAATAAGCTTTTGTATTATATTCTCTGCAGGAGGCCAGCATGGACACGTGCAGCCTTTCAGCGATGAAGACGCCTCCATCGAGACGCTCAGTCATTGCAGCAGTTTAAGTGATGTCGTCAGTGTTGCAGATGAAGGTATTTCAGAATCTGAATGATTTTTTTACAGCACGTCAAAAAAGCTTAAACTTTTCTCTTGATTTAGTAATTCAGTAGTCAAAATGACCCATAAAGGCATTTGCAGAAAATGGAACATTCACTAGATCAATACAGGTGGTAGATGTATAAAGTAATGGGCTTTGTGTTGAGGTATTACCTGTTCACGAGTCCAATTGGAGAGGGGAAGAAACTACTATTTTGGTGGAAGGTTCTGGTCTGGATGGACTTAGCATTCTGCCTGAGGGAAGTTATTCAAATACTGTATTTTTCAGATTATAAATCTTTCCAGATTATACATTTCACCAGCAGAGAATGCATAATAAAGGAACAAAAACAAGTCTCATTTTTTGGCCAAATTTATTTGAAAAAAAATCCAACACCAAGAATAGACATTTCATCTTAAAAAGGGAATTTAAAACAAAGATAGAATGGAGAACAACAGGCTGAATAAGTGTAGGTTATATGACGCACAAACAGCGAACTGAGAATGTCTGGTAGGTTATTTTAATATATTCTGGTAAGAGTCATACAAATAACTTGAGCATATCGAACATGCTACAAGTTACCAAAGAATCAATTCTACTTAGTAGCATAGGCTATTTGACATTTTACAGTAGATTAAATGTAATATTTTCCCACAAACGTCGCCCCAGAGTAAAAGTTGAACCCCCAGGTACAATCCGAAAAATAGGAGGGTCCAGGAGGGTGGAGGTGAATGACTTGAGATGGGAGAGGACCTCAACTTGGTTGTCTACGAATTTTCTTTACTTTTAGTGTTCCGCTTCTGTGAGTTTGTTGTGTTGCCAGGTGCTGAGGTCAGTGAGGACACAGCCCAGGAAGACTTCCAGTACAAGTTGAAAGGGTTCATAGACAGCACTGTGGACAAGAGGTAAAATGGAGTAAAGTTGCACTTAAATCTGGGTTACCCAATTTAAAAAAAGCACAAATAATTTAACTCAATGTAACTCGTTCCTGCTGCTTGACTGGAACAGTTTCATTTTAACACTAGTTTTCTGAACTATTTTTTGCCTCATCTTTAAATCAGCTTTTTTCTTTAGTACTAGCCTCTTTACACTTCTTTGTCTTATAAAAAAAACTCTTCTAAACCTTAATCATCAGCTTTTCAAACAGAAAAGTTAAATGGAGGGGACCATCCTCACTCAGCCAATTATCTCTCAAAGTGTCAAGAAGGGAATCTTTATGATTATGCAAGAACTTTAAAACTTTTGGGACAAACTACATGTATATGATTGTTTCAGTATGTGCAACCAACTTTTGAATTGTCATTTATAAGCAAAATTTGTAAATGTATTTTATGAAAGATCAGCAGTCTGAATAGGTTTTGCCGGTGTTATTAAGACATAGGACACTGTTGTAATAAATGTGCTGTTGCTTTAGTGCCAAGACCAGACAGAGTGCGCTGGACGGGCTGAAGACTGCTATGGCCAATCGCATCCTGTATGAGTTTATCTCTGAGAGGAGAATGACCATCACGGACAGCATTGAGCGATGCCTCAAGAAAGGTAAGGCTTTAAGTGTGCTACAGTAGATTCAAGTGCTGCAAATTAGTGATGATGTGGTTGTATAAAAGAATAAATGAATGCATTTGATTTTTGTTTTGTCCAAGGCAATGGGCTGGCTTCTCTGATCATAGTGGGTTTAAACTCCCACAGACGTCCTATTCCTCAGTCTTTTCTCTTCACATTGCGTTACATTTAAGTCTAGTGTATACTCGTGTGGCGCTGGTTACGGTTGCGGTTACGTTGGACCTACGCAGCCACAGTTGCTCGTCCACTCGCGCGTTTCCCTTACGTAGTTTTGAAGAGAATGTTGTAATCCCACACGCAAACATGTGATGGCGATTTCACAGGAGTTGCCTGAGAAACCAAAGCGGTTACGCTGCTACTTTCTCCTCTTCAGAACAAAAACAATAGCAAACCAAACTGTTTAAGATCATTACATGTGTTTCTACTGTAGGTTTATGTTCTATGGACTAATTATTTCATAACTCATTTAACTGTATGTTGTGAATAAAGACTCGGTTCTTGTAGGAGACAGTTATTACATTTTATTCAACACAAGCAGCAAACCAATAAGTGGTAAATATCTGAGACAAACATGAACGATTTACAAGTGCAGGAGGAATGCAACAGACGCGATAAACTACGATTGCAGATTCAAACAAAGACAGGCTCAGGAACAGTGCAAAAGTAACGACTGTACAGTTTGAGTTGAATATTCAACTGAACTGAACAGTCCAGCCTCCTGATTATCAGGCTCTGAGCCATGAACCCGAACTACTTTTCGTTCGGCTCCTTCGACGCACGGAGCTATCTGGTCCGAGGTGCCTCGTCCATGCTCCCTGCAGCCGCTCCATGCCTCCGTCCAAAACACACACACGGACCAATCACAGTGGAGCTTAGCTGCGGCGCGGCCTGCGTAGTTAGACATTTTTGAGGGTGCGCAGCGGGCAAGGGTCTTGCGGTGATCCTATACACTAGGCTTAAGCCACTTCAGAAAGGGGACTGTTTACATTTCAGTTTGTTTACATTTTAGCGCTACATTGTCAAGTGTCAAAGACTTGTGGAGAGATCTGGTTATTTATCAAATTAAAGCAGCCATTCCTAATGTCAGCAACACCGCGGCCCCCTAAAAAATCTGGTGGGTCAGCGTAGTACCAAAGGACTGCAATATATGATCTCAACGCCAGATGGGAGTAAAAACTAGTGTGTACCTTTTTAACAATCTGAGTAGCAGCAGAGTCTTTAAAATGGTCACATTTGAGAGGCCAACCTTTGTGTTTTTCAATGATTGAGCCAGCTACAAAGAAGCTGTATGGAAGGAGTTATTTTTGTGTTTGTCGTACAGATAACTGGCTGTAAATAAAATGTCTGCTTGTTCACCGACTATTGCAATATCGTCCGTATATTCCCCACCTCTTCTGCTTCTCTATCATGTGCAAGTGAATTCCTCTTTGTCCATAGGAAAAGGTGACGAGCAGCGGGCGGCGGCGTCGTTGGCGTGCCTGCTCTGTATCCAGTTGGGCTCTGGGATCGAGAGTGAGGAGGTGTTGAAAACCCTTAAACCCATCTTTAAGAACATTTTGGCAGATACATCAGCCCACATTCAGGCCAGGCAGGCTGTGAGTATCTTGTGCTGCTTCAAAACCAAACAAAATGCACTTGAAACATTTTACTGTTATTTTTTTTTTTTTTTTTTTTTAGGTGGCGACAAGCTTGGGTCTTTGTACATTGGTTGCAGAGGATGACATTTTGGTATGTTGTGTTTCTGTAGTTTGCACGTCTGGGCTTCAAGCTGATTAAATGGAAAATGTATTAGTTGGCCAATTATTCTTCTGTTTACTAATTTAGATTCTGAGAGGTCTGTGAATATGACTAAAACAAAGCCCAGGTGAAGCTCACATTGGATTTTTATAGCCATATCCTGTCAGACCTCTGAAGCTAAGCAGGACAGGGCCTGGTTAGTACTGTGATGGGACACCTCTGGGTACACCAGGTGCCACAGTGAGGCGGCTGTAAAGTGCCAAAATGTCGTGGTGTCCTTGGGGAAGACACTTAACCCACATTGCCTACAATGAGTGGTGTGCACAAGACTGGTTGGTGGTCGGAAGGCTGATGGCATATACTAGTTGTCCCGCTTATGTCAATTTAGTTAAAAGATTTAGTTGCGATTAATTGAGTGACTCTTGTTTTTGAGGAACACACTAGGGTACTCAATAAATGGAAAAAAAGATGATGGACAAAAAGGAAAAGTTTGGATGGCATATGACAAAATAACCTCAGAACTTTTGTCAATGTTATTTCGAAACATGTGGGAACTAAAATTTAGTTTGATCCTCTTGCAGATGTTCTGCTAAATATAATCAACTAGAGCTTTCCATTCTGCACCTCACTTCATATCTGGACCATAGTTTTATCTTGGCAACCATTGAATGAATTGTCGTTTTTCTTCAAGGACGTGTTTTCCACAATGGAGTGCTTCGAGAACCTATTCGCCCGGTCGTACGCAAAAGGTGATGGCACATTTCCATCGGTTAATCCTCAGATGAGCCAACTTCACACCAACGCTCTGCTGTCCTGGGCCCTTCTACTCACCATCTGCTCAGGCAGCCAGCTCAAGGAAGTCCTTCGCAAGTAAGCAAGGCACATTGAATAGTTTGGATCCCTTTAAAGAGTATTTTGAGTGCTTACAAGGTGCGTGTGTGTATTTTGTGCAGACACGTACACAAACTCCCTGGACTATTGGAGAGCGACGATGTCAATATGAGGATAGCTGCTGGGGAAACGATCGCCTTGCTTTTTGAATTGGCCCGAGACATGGACGCTGTAAGTTTTTATAATGTTAGGTTTCTTTAACATCAATAGACATACACTTAAACTAAAAACCATAAAAATGACGCGTTGATGCAAAAAAATACGTCAACGCAAAATATAAGCGTCGATTTGTCAGACTCAAGACAAAGATGGCAACAAGTAGTAGCAATGCGAGTGCTGTCTGGGGCATTCAAACCGCCAACGCTTGAACGCAGTTTCCATGCGCAGTAGACGCACATTCTCTAAATTTCAGACGCTAGGGGTGTTCAGACCAGAGGTCCTGGGCTGCGGTGGCGCCCGGTGGAAGTAGCGTATGTGATTTGATGCTAACAGATTTAAGCTAGCTGCTTTTTGTGTAAAGTTCTTCTCCAATAATGCAGATCTGCAGCGTCTCTGTGTCCAGAGACCTTCCGGAGACTTTATATAACAGTATGTGTTCAAGGAGGTGCGACATACTTTTATTTTATTGTTAGACGGTGCTTCCGCATCGGCGAACATGTTAGCTGCTCTAGTTAAGTCAGTGAAGAATGAATTCTCAGAAAGCTAGGCCTATGTTCAACATAATTGTTGAATTCTAAATATTTATTTAGATAATCGAATCGGACTGAAAAAAAAAAAAATAAATTCCATGTACCTGTATTTTTGGCCTCTGTCAAATCTTTAGCTTAGCTTTTCAAAACCTTAAAGAGTTGGCCAGCCTAATCAACTCTCATTAGAAAATATAATATCTTTTATATACTAAGATGAAGACTTCCTATTCTGGTCTAGAGCAGCACAGTTGGGCAGGTCCTTTCTGTGTAGGTTTTCTCTAGGTGCTCCAGTTTCCCCTAGCACTAAACTTGTACATTTGGGATATCTGATTCAAATTAGCCCAAGGCTACAATCCGGAGAGGTGTGTTCATTAAAATGCACTGTTCCACCCAAATAAACTATACATTCTGTGGCAAGAAGCACCAAACAGGAAAAATGGGCAGTCCAGCAGTTTTCACCAAAAATTGTACAGCAAAAGTATTTATTTTAGTTTTCTTTTTGCAGGATTTCGAAATTGACAACTACAACGACCTGTGCGATAAACTGTCAGCACTTGCGACCGACTGCAACAAACATAGGGCAAAAACTGACAAGAGGAAACAACGCTCTGTTTTTAGGGACGTGCTAAAAGCTGTTGAGGTGAGTTCCGGATTGACTTAAAGAAATATTATACATTATGTTTGGTTTTTGGCCGTAGTGTTGGGCGGGAGCGCTGTTTTTTCCTGAGAGGTCTATAGATGTGAATGTGGATGAAACCACTTGTCTAGAGGAAGTAGCTTTACGGCTATAGATGGATAAGTTGAATATTTGGCCCCTTAAAAATTTAAATTAGATCATTTACTTTGTCATTTCAAGTTTAAAAATATGAAATATATCTTAAGTAGAAAATGTATGATGGGTAAATGAGGCTATGTAAACGCAGCTGGGTGATTTTAAATAACATATTCTTACCTGAGGACACTAGTTTATTGGCAATACTTGTGAGAAGTGTGACGTGGTGGTACAACATCATCCATTGGACTTATGACTGGAGACGTCATAATTCTGGTCGTCTTTGTGCCAGAATTAAGTTGATCTGGCATAATATCTCCTTTTTTGAAAACTCGTTATTCTTACTAATGTATCCTAACAATAAGGTTTCCTTTTCCTATTTCAGGATGGGGACTTTCAGTCTGAGACCATTCGTTTTGGAACGGAGCGTATGACCATCGACAGCTGGGTCAGGAAAAGGACCTACGACGCTTTCAGGGAGTTTGTTGGCTCTGGAATGAACTACCATCTACAGGTGGGCCCGCTTTAAAGTATACTGAATGCTATATGCCTCATGCAGACTGTAGTAACTTGGACATACATGTATACATTTTTCATGTTTAGTTGTTTAGTTTGACTTCACATAGTTCCATCTTCCTTCTGATTTGGCCTGTATACATTTGTATCTATCCAAAACAAATTATATCAAGTGGGGCTGTAACTACTCCATTGATTCATCTAAATTTAGATATTCAAAATTAAGATGAGTTAGTCGTTGAAAAAGATTTTTGATCAATTTTATTGACTTTGAAATTTGATTTTTGTAAGAGAAAACTGTACTTCCACCTCTTCCACAAGCGCATTCCTGCAGGCTTTCGTAGCTTCCACACAGTTGTAGTGCAACGTGCTCCATGTGGGTGTAAACAACACGTGCAGCAGCGTGTTTTCAGAAAATGCAGTTTGGACTTAGTGAGCGTCTGCACAACACTAGACCACTTTCAACTGCAGCGCTCATGGCTCACTGACGATTGAAGCGGAGAAAGGAGAGGAATGTGAAATCTTTAAGTCCGTTAGCCGCAGCTAACACGAAGGAGCTGCTAAAAGTAGAGAAACCGGAAATTGAATTAAAAATGCGATATTACCCAGCCTTATTCCAACCAATCCCACACGTCAGAAGTCTGCTCTTTCACAAAAAAATCTGGTTTGGTCATCTACCATATTCACTGATGTAGTAGAACTATTTGAGTTCTACTGTGTAATTAATTATAATGGGCGGCCAATGAAATCAATTGCTGCCGCTTGAAAACTAACGTCCGTCTCCCCCCCCCAGGCAAATGAATTTATCCGTGACGTGTTTGAGCTGGGACCACCCATTCTGGTCGACTCTGAAACGATGAAGGCCATGAAAATCTCTCGCTTCGAACGAGTAAGTGGATTTGTGTGCTGTTTTGCTCTGTCACTTGCAATAAACTCTGGACTAATGCCGTTCTTCTGCATCTGTCAGCATCTCCACAACTCTGCTGCGTTCAAAGCTCGGACCAAGGCCAGAAGCAAATTCAGGGACAAAAGGGTCGACGTGGGGGAGTTTTAAATGAGTTTTTCTTTGTTTTTTCTTAAGTAATATATTTATACAGCAAATTAAGAACTGTCGCAGATTACTAAATGTTGTGTTTGCGCAGGTGAACCCCTTTGTAGGCAGAAGTGTTGACGTTCGGTTTTAAATGTTGTCCCACAATATTGTATCGTATTGTAAATTTTGCATGTTTTTTTTTTGGTTTCTTTTTTTTTCATGGAATAATTTTTATCTATATTTACTGCAGCACATGTACAAAGTGGGATCCAAGTTCACATCTGTACAACACATGACTAGGATGAATTCACAGTGTTTGAAAATAAGCTGCTTATCCCTGTAGAATCTATAAATAATGTTTGCGGCTAACAATGTCATAGTATGTAAAGCATTGTTTCAAATGTTATGAAATAAACCCCAATGCCCTCAATACTGGGTAGTTTGTACTATTTTTTTTTTTTTTTTTTATGTGTGTACTGTACAAGGGGAATCCAAGTGAACCAATTTCTGGCTTCAAGCTGGCATTCGCTAAATATTCTGGAAATACGAAGTGGGGCTGTAACTGACAATGTTTGCTTCATGTCACAATGTTTCTTTATTATTATTTTTTTTTTTATAATGCCAGTTCATTTTGTGTACATATTTGTAAGGTAAAACTCAGTGAAGCCAGTGGGGTACTTGCTTACAACATGCTTTCATTTCCTGTCATGCCATAAATATAACACAATTCCTGAGTTATAATGAACTCCCAACCACAGGTCTGTAGAGAACACTTTTTCTTATGGATATAAAAAGTATACCCGAACCAACGTTCATCTAAAGTCAACTCGGGGTATTCTCTTCACTTTTTTTCTTTAAGAATTTGATTATTCATTCAATCGTTCACTTTCATCCCTTTTTATTAGTCATTTTGGGGTCAGGGGTGTGGCAATCCGAGCTGCCACCCAATTCACAAAGCACCAGTCCCTCGCTGATCCTCTTGCAGGTGGTGGGTCCACAGGAAGATGGCTGCTCCTTCAACGCAGATGCGCAGAGGATCTTTCAGCAGGGACTTTGATTAGTGTCTTGTGAAGTGCATTGTGGGCCAGATCCTTGTGGGAGGTGTCCTGCAGTCTGCTTGCTCTGTCATCCCAAACTGTGATATCTACGAAGTATACCGACTTCCCAAAATTTAAGAATTTTCGGCACGGTGGCTGAGTGGATAGCACTCTCGCCTCTCAGCAAGAAGGTCCTGGGTTCAAATCCCGGTCGGACCAGGGCCTTTCTGAGTGGAGTTTGCATGTTCTCCCTGTGTCTGCATAGGTTTCCTCCGGGTACTCCGGTTTCCCCTACCACTAAAAATATGTCCAATAGTTCTGGCATGCGCCTCCTGTACTGGCGACCCCGCTCCCATCTCTGTGTGGAGTGAGAGACAAATGCCCAAAAAATGAACAATTGTAAACCGCTTTGAGACTCAGATCTGCAGTGAAAAGGCGGTAAATAAATAAAGATTAAAAAAGAATTATTTTAAATTGGTCTTTGGCTTAAATCTGCTTAATTTTGCTAAGCGATATAAAACACATCCCAACTCAGTTTCCCAGTTGACATCCCATTTTTTACGATATTGTATGATCGCTGCGCCTGGCCACATGCTCCTGACTTGGTCTTTAAGTTTCTTGGTCAGGCAACAAAGAACAGAACACATTGTGGACATTTGTGAGTGTGCAGTGAATTGGTAGAAGTGTTCCTCCTGGAAACCTGTTGGTATAATGGGTTGAGAACTCTCCCACTATACAAAGAAATGGGATATAAAAAGCACGCTTTAATCTACTTAAAGCCTTGACTCGCCAGAGTGAAGTAGCCTAAATGTTTTTTCTTGAGCTGAATTTTGATATTTTATTTTCACATTTAATAACTGTCGGGTCATTGTGCCCCGAGGATGGCAACCACACCCCTCCACACATCAGCAGGTGTAACTAGAACATTTAGTTGACAGAAAACCGCCACAGCGTTATGAGAATCTCATTAAACTGAGCTTTCTGACAAAATTTGGATTATGGGCTTTGATCATTAACTCATTTTTCTTTCTGCCTCCAAAACAATTACACAACAGTTTCAAAGACACGTAATTAAAACTGGAAAGTTTAAAGCCTTCTGTTGTTTATCTTGTGCTCATGCCTGGGTGTTGTTTTGTGGGTGTTTGCGGAGGAGATCACAAAAAGTTATTTATTCTTATTTTTGTGCGGACCACCTGAGCTGCAGTACTGGAATATAAATGGATATATGACACACAGCACGGAGCAAAGATGCTATGTATTCTAAAAAAATGAACTAGGCTTAGCAGGTGAGCAGAACCTTCAACCGCTCTGTCCCCCAGCTCTGGACCACCCTTCCCCCTGACCTCCGCAAACACTGACACACTCCCAAACTTCTAAATCACATTTAGACTGGCCTATTCACTGTGACCCTACATTTCATCGTCCATTTTTAACTGCTTTTAACTTAGTACCCTCTGTAAGGCGACCTTGAGACGGCATATAAATAAAATGTATTATGGCTTTTTAAAATCCCAATTTTACACTATCACTGAATGCTCATGTGGTTATGACATCAAATAGCTTTTAGGGTCCCAGACAGTCTAAACAGATGGCCCTTCAACACCATATTGTAAGTCCCAAATCCAAAGCCAAATGAAACATTCCCATCCAATTAGCAAACATTATTTGGACGGTTGCATGTCTTGACGTGATTATACTTACAGATGTCTTCCTGCTTAAGAGGCATCTATAGTTACTCAATTTCTCTGTTCATTGGGCACACATTAGACGGAGCCCAGAGACATTTGCTCACTAACCAGGCTAATGTGTTTATAACATGTGGACAGCTGTTTGCGTTGCACTTACGATATTCATCCGACCATGCATTTCTTAAACAGGACTAATGACTTGCAGTGAAGTTCTCCCTCTTTGGTTTCTCTGCTGCTGATGTTACATGGCTTCAACTTTCCACTCACTTTGATGCTGTTATGTGCTGCCCATAAATACTAAAACAAATGACAGATGCTTTGTTGTTTACAATGTCTTCGGAAACACATGCATTCGCCTACTCAAATAAAACTTGTAAATTGTCACAATTTCAGCTGGGTTACCTAACTTTTCTAATGCATATATTTAGTTTGTGACTGTTAGGCGTTAGATAAATAAAGAAATTACTATGAGTGAGTGGATAGCACTCTCACTTCTCAGCATGAAGGTCCTGGGTTTCAATCCTGGTCGGAATAGGTCTTTTCTGAGTGGAGTTTGCATGTTCTCCACGTGTGTGTGTGTGTGTAGGTTTCCTCCGGGTACGCCGGTTTCCACTACCATTAAAAACATGTACAACAGATCTGGCATGCTCCTCCTGTACTGGCGACCCCACTCCCATCTCTGTGTGGAGTGAGAGACAGCCCACAATTGTAAACCACTTTGTGACTCTGGTCTGTGAAAGGCAGTATAAAGATTACTTACTCACTGATGCACAGACTTCAGTTGGGGAGCGCATCTGTAGTGCATTATTGGTGGGCAATCGGTTACGTTGGGTTGTCTCTCCCGGGTTAACTCGAAGACATTTTCCATAAAATGGAAGTTGAACCTGATGTTTTGGCTCTGCCTGGATTAGAAATGTGTGTCCAAACTTGACATGTTGAAAAGCTATGCCTTTGACTCCAGGGGTCAAGAAGATGTGGTACAGTTTTTCTTTTGTATAGTTAAGTCTATGCATCAGAGCAGAAACTAGCGTCACTGGGCATCACTGGGCACATCGATGCTATAAATGTGTTGACTGAAATATGGACAATATCATCATTTGGCAAACTCTGGCATATTTACAGTAAAGAAATTACACAGAAATATTAAACACAACAAAACAATCCTAAAAAATTCAAAGATTTATTGACGTATATGTTGTATTTTCCAAAGTACGCAATTTGCCATTTCGTTATTGCAAGGTTTTGAACTGCAATTTTGATTTGACTGATTGCTCTTGGTGCCCGGTAATGTAATACATTTAAACAATAATTAACCCTAATCAGAAACTTGATGTGAGACTACTAGAAAGGACTACTGAAATAAATAAAACAAAAGAAATATCTAAGAAAATATTAGGAACATAAAACGTACCTTCTGTAATATACAATTGCAGTGGTCTAAAAAAGTCATTACAAATACAATTAAACTTTTTGTTGCCAGAATCTTCCTGCCCTGACATATGTAGCTCCCACTTACTGATGCTGTCCTTCTGCTGGGGTTTAACAAAAAATATATTCCGGCGACTCTGTAAACTGTTTATCTTATTTACCTTGTTTTTTTATTAATTTATTTTTATATCTGCTATCATCTAGACAACTATGTGGTGTTTTTGTTTGTAAAGGTGTATAAGATGGAGTCAAAGCTAGGCTAAATTTCACCTTGCAAATTGAGACTAATTCTTCTCTCTGATTGGATAATATGCTGGAGAACTGGAATTTATAGATATTGTGAAGTGGTCACATATGATTTGAATATGTGCTTTCAGATTGGTGAACTATATTGATTTATTTTACAAATAAAGTGACAATGATGATTTAAAACATCATTCTAAATTAACAACTTATTCCGTTTAGGACCAACAAGATATATTAATTATGAGAAACACAAAGTTGGGTACCTAAGTTTTAAGTGATTGTATGGCTCTCGCCGAGATTAATACAGCTATCTAATTTAATGATTCCCAGTTTAGTGGGACTACAGTCACAGCAGATACGCTAAAGAGCTATGACCTACTCTCACCAGCAGAGGGCACTTGTTCACTACGGAGCCACTGTGCGCTTGTGAAAATCTGTCTCAACTGATTTGATTATGTCAGACTTCTCAGCACTTGGTTGCATCACACGCACTGCAAGGCTTCATGTTCTATTGAAAACGCTTTGAAACTGTCCCCATACAGAAGGCAATCAACGTGGTATAAAACTAACACCTCCAATTCAGACGTCCAATTATGAATCCTGCTGAAAAATGACACATGTA